TCACTCGATTGGTATTCACCCAACCTCACAAATTGACGCCTCTGTGTCAAATAACTTCTGATCCATTTCCAAACCATTCCTCTGATCCCATATTTCTCTAACTTGTCCATTAATAGTTCATGATTAATTGTATCAAATGCTTTTCTTAGGTCAATAAATATCCCCATCGTATATTTTTTCTCATCCATAGCACTTGTAATGTCCTCCATCAGGTCAGTAATGGCCAAGGATGTCGATCTTTTCAACCTAAAACCATATTGGCAATCAGATAAGATTTTATGTTTGTCAATAAATGTGTCTAATCTGTTATTAAAGAGTTTTTCCAGAATTTTTAAAAATTGTGACAACAGAGAAATCGCTCTATAATTTGTGAGGTTGTGCTTATCACCAGATTTATACAGAGGAATAACCTTCTATTTAGAGGTTTTCTAAACTTCATACTTCTGAAATATTTAGCTGTATTTTGAAAATCTTGCCCAATTCAAATAAATGGGAAAATTCAACTTCAGCATACTTTCAGCTAGAAAAACCATTCAGGTGTCAAAATTTTCAGCATTTTCAGGGCGATCCTTCAGCATATCAGAGTCCATGTGCATTTTCAACAGGAAATGCATTTCTCTAGTTTCTGTATGTTTCCGTGTCTTTGTAGTAAATCTATCACTGAAGCCCGGGCCCAGCTAATTATTACAAAAATTGTGTGCTCTACTTTAAGTGTGTTAAGAATGTTGACTTCACACCAATATCTTGCTAATGTTTGTCCCACTCCATAAGTGAACAAAATATAAGGAAATAAATCTGGAGTACAAAATGTCAGTAATTCATCTACAGCTGTTAATACAGTTTGTGTTCAAACTAATCACCCAGTTATTTCTGGTGTGGCCTAGGAATAAATAATTATCCTTCTATTTATCAATGAATAAAAATGAAAATATGTAGAATAATTAGAAGTATAATGAATAATCACATGTACATGAGAGTCTGACCTTGATACTTGATAATTAAATAAAACGAGATGTCATCAGAACCATCACAGTACTCAAGAGAAAAAGACACTGAAACCCACATGATACATGTGGCATTAACTTGACCACATGATGGCGTTAGACCGAGGCTCCAGCGTATGTATGCTGCCACCTAGATGATACTTGATATTGTCAGTTATGGCCACACTGGAAGAGTTACATGACACACGGACTTAGAAAACACAACATTTTATTTAATCAGGACCTGTGAATGTAAATACACACAATAGTCATGTGCTTGGCAGTTTCTGTTATCGAAGATTAACTAAGGATTGATGTGGAACCCATTCATTCTTCTCTTTAGAGTTACATTGTAATAGAGATGAGCAGTTTAAAAAAGTTTTATAGTCTAAAATACTGCATCAGAATGAATGATTTTATGATTGGGTTTTCAGTGCAAAAGATACATTTGCATTTTGTATAACCACAATTATTTTGGAGACAGCAGTGGTCATTTGCATGATGTAGACTCTGCCCTAATATAAGAATAGGTGTTAGTGAATATATTTATGTGGTAATTCCTGAAATATTGGTTTTTATATACAGTAGCATAGCATACTGTGTATCATAAAATGAATGAGTCATCCACATGCATTCATTATCACATAATAAAAATTGTCCAACAAACAAGTAAAAGCACCAGAAACATGCTAAACAATGCTTTTTTGTGATCTACACCATTCTAGAACATGTGCATCTGCAATTCAGCAAAGGTTTGAATAAAAAAAAGTACAGTTTAGCATATAGAAAAATTATCTGAAAGATTGAATTTAATTGAATTTTATGCATACGAAATGTAGCATCAACATGAACATATTGATTAAATCTGAGAAGGACTGAACACCCTACGCTTCCTATTAGTCAGGTTAACCATGGTGATCATTAACAGGCCTTATCAGGCTTGTGGCTCCTCTTGCTCAGCATGAACACTGCTGGCTGTGGTTGCCATGGGTACGGTGTCTGTAGCAGCCTGAGGAGAGCTCCTCCTAGTGGACGCAGAGAGAGTTGACATTACACCTTTCAGTTACAAATCACATGATAAAATGTGCCAACACCAACCTAAGATCTTACTTCATCTCGTTGGCCTCTGATATTTTCACTGCTTTGTATTTTTGCTTCTTCATAGTGTGAGCAATGAACCACACAACCAGAAGGATTAGGACACACCCGAGCAATGCACCAATCACTGCACCTGCAATCATGCCACCTGCCACTTCTGTAGAGATATAAGATTTTATATGCATGAATGAAGCCCTTTTGTATACACTTTGTAAAATTTTGTAGATATTTTCAGAAAACACAAATGTGAACATACCATGACTCAGGTCAATAGTGCACGTTGAAAATCCCACCACATTTGTAGCATTGCACTCGTATTCCCCAAACTCAAACTGTGATATGTTTCTGATTTCCAATATCCCTGTTGTCTTCACTGAGGAAATGGGCACACATGTTTATAAAAGACTGGATTGTAAATATATGACAAAGGCACTCATGCAGTACTCACCTTGTCCCAGTACAGGCCTCTTGGTCTTTGACTGATCCAGCCTGGTCCAAGTGTATGTAGGGGTAGGGCTCCCACGCTCACTGTGGCAGGTAAGAGTGACCTCGTGACCCGATTCCACATCCCCATGTATGGCACAATATGGAATAGAGGGCTTCTCTGACAGACCATAAGAAGGATGCAAGTGTTAATCAGGTGACTTTGTATTTAGTCAATTTCATCTACATACTGTAACATTATCATGAAGTACATGTTAAATCAGGACAAATCATCTATGTTTTAAAATCACTTTTAGTGAGGACTTTGGACTGTTAAATAAATGTAGCGGAGTTGGAATTCTTTGCTCACTGTTAAACAAACAGGACGTCACATTAGTTATCATGAGGCAGGAGGTATGCTTGGAGTGGCCTAATCTCTGTTCCCGGTTGAGGCTGGTTCAGGCTGGTTGAAGCTGGTTAAGCATATATACAATAATCTCTTCATGCTGTCTGTCTGCCACTCATTAGGCTTTGAATGGGCATGTCTGAAAAAACAACCTCAAATGCCCTAACTTTATATATAAAATCTATTGTGTTTTCCTGTTACAATAGTGTTAGGGAACATACTGCAGGGAGTAAAGTGTGCACGCTTATTTGTAATTTTGACTGCTCATAATTCACAGTTAGCAATGATGAAAATTGTTTGATTGAGAACAGCCATACATATTCAAGCAGCACTTACTATAATTATGCATCATATTCAGTGTGCAGAAACTGTTCTACAGATGTTTTCAAAACAAATACAAGGCATATGGTTAGCATGCAGCAGAAGCAGATATCCATGCAGTACAAGGAATGTGGTCACAGTCCTACTCTAATATCCAACACTGACAATGAGTAGACTGCTGCAGTATCCATGGAAACTAGTGAAGATACTGAGGCCTGCAAGGTTGTCCTGGTAACTTGGTGAATGAGAGGATTCAAACTAAATGTAATTCCCCAATCATAGTAATCAGGGCCACTATTTTAATAGATTTGTTGGTAGTATGGTGCTGACAGTACAATTCACTGAAATCATAATACTCTTCCTGTGGCTAAATTTTACCAGTAATTCAGACTTGGATTTTAGGTTAAGAAATAAAACACAGACATGACTAATATAACCCTGCATTTACATAAAATATACTGAAAAAAGAAATAGCTGAATACTATGGAATTAAAATTTTAATATACAACTTAAAATAATAATAATAAAAAAAGCTTAAATGAAATTTATTGACTGTAGTTCTCAGACACCAGAAACCTCAAAGAGACTGTGTGTGCTTTGGCTCTCCCTCTTGAGGTAGGCACACCCTTATGAGCAGGAAAAAACTGTCCAAAGCACCAGCAGCAGGTTCAGGTCTGTCTTAATACAGTGGCTGATTCATACACACTCATATTGTTGGACTACACCTAGGTCAAGGTGTGAGCATTGGTTTGAAAGCAATTCATCATAGCACCATGCTCACAGAAAAAGAACAGCTACTCCTGCTTTCTTTCATAACATAAACATTAAACCGATTCTGTGAACAGGTGTGTCAAGTGGTGTGAAATGCCCTACACACCCTCTATACACACTCACAGTGTTTTTGATTATATTGCCTGATTAAACCTCTACTCAGGACTGTGTGAATGTGTACAGATCATGACTGACTAGAATAAGTCAGTTCATATTTTCTTACTCTGACTCTGTTAGCTTTACTTTTTCTTCCTAAAATAAATGGTTTATATACCAAAGGAAGACTACATTTACAGCAGTCAGGCTCTTTGTAGTAACTTGATTTTGTTTAATGTTTGCATTTACAGTATTTACAGGTCAGGACAACTTTTTAATTCTGTGTGGGGAACTACAGATGGTACAAAATGAAAAGATCATACTGTAGAAAAATCTGAATATTGACTGTGCAGGCATTGAGCATCTCTTTCTGATGTTAACAAAACTTACCAAGGACAGTCACAACGATACTGCTCTGAGACTTTCCATCCACATCGGGAACGTTGTGAACCTCACAAGTGTAGATGCCAGAATCTGATGGCTGCATGTTGCTTATTATTATTGAGACATTTTTGGTTGCGCCAGGAGAAGAGGGTGGTTGAACTCTGCCCATATAAGATTTCCCAGTAATATTTACTCCTGATTGATAGTAATAGACCTGAAATCAAATGACAACCCCACCCCCCAGAATATTAGACACAATAAATGTATTAAATACAATACACCACTGTCACTGAGCTTTTAGGAGGTCTGAATGTTGTAATTTGGAGAAATAAAACCTCTGGTGCTGAAACAAATATAATCTTTGAATCACTGTTTTCTAAAGAAACTGGTGCAATTAACAGAAATAGGGATTTTATTCAGTATATGCTTTCTAGGTAGTTTGGTACCAGGTATAGTTATTTACTAGGTTTTTTTTGTACATAAGTTACAGATAACAGCTAGTTAAATTAGCATTCCCAGATCAAAAACTTGTCATTTACCAACAAAAACAGCATGAAAATGCAGTAATACCCACAGTCTGTTCATGTTAAATAATAAGGATAAAAACGTATGATTTAGACTACATTGACTACATTGGTCAGACACTAGTCATTATGTTATATTAATTCAAAACTGAATAATAATAACTAATATCTAAAAGCATTTTTAGTTAAATCTGCCATCATCTGATTTCTCAGTCACAGGTTTTGTCATCTCTGTGAGGTCTAAATACAAATACACTTCCATGTATTTTTTGGTTAAAGTTCAGGCTTTGTAATAAAGTTGAGTTTTCAATGAATAATTTCAAACAAGCAACTGCAGCTGTGATTCTGCTGAGTTACATTGTTGAGTTATGAAAATGTTGAGTTCTCTGAGCACTGTAATTCCAATTCGAGTACTGCAATTCAGTAATTTCGTTAAATCAACAGAATGCCACATCTTGGTAAAGAGTAGTGGATTTGACCTCACATTTCCATAATTGAAATAAACAAAATCATTCAGCTTACTCAAAGCCAACTGATATACAAAAATGTTGGACACATTTGAGAACATTAAAAGTGCCTCACTGGGTGCAAAGCTCTGATCTTAGCAGAAGTGTGAACAGCATCTACCTGTTGTGGTGCAGTCATGGACGATGGTCTAACATGATCCCACTGGAACATAAGGGTGGTGGTGGTTTCTACACTAGACACATACATGCACTGGAGTAGGACGCTTCCACCCACTGTAACATTGACATTCTTCTGAGGAGTTGTGACTGTGATTAGTTCAACACATCCTACAAAAGAACAAGTTTATCAAGATTCAGGTAAGTTCAATCCAAAAGCAGACTTTCTTCACTAAAATTACCTAGTAGTTTAAATCAACGCAGAAAATAGAATTAAAAGAAGAAGCGGAAATAAATTTACCTGATATGCTTAAAAGCACTAACAAACACTGTGTAGAGCACATCTTCACAAATGTTGGAGAATATCCACTGAACTTCTTGTTGACTGAACTTTCCACAGTCTCCACTGCTGACTCTTGCAAACAGTACCAGAAGAGAGGATAAAAACCATACAGTATCATAGGCAAGGTTACAGTGTGCATGATAATGGACTGGCTGATAGTGTGCATGCTGATAACACAATGTTTGCATTTCCAGGTTTGTCAGACTGGGTGTGTATGCTCTATTGTTTTTCAAAAACGGTCGATTTAGCCGTTAACGATTTTGGGATGGGGCTGATGAAAATGAGAAATAACTGACCCGTTCTTTTATATACAGTATGGTAATATTTTGTGTAAATGCTGTTTACATTTAAAATTACAGCAAATAAAGTTACAGTCAGTGAAACCTTGTGTATGTTGATTTTATATGGCAAGCTAAGACCATAGAGGACACTGATGGCTTATTCATTCAGCTCATCACTCCACCCTCCTTGTCTTGTAAGTCATTCTTGGTCAGAGCTTCTGGAAAAGAAATTAATGTAATTTAATTTACACTCAAAGAAGTAGAAGTCAAAGCAATGCAACATATTGCTTATCAGAGGGGAGTTCATTCCAGGGTGTTGCGTACTTAAGGAAGGCAGTTTCACCTTCGTTTCCACTCCTACAGCGTAGAACACAATGTTGACAGAAAGGCACAGCGAATTACGCATGATGATTTGTCTATAATTACCAGAAGCTGATATATATGATTAACACTGTTGTTGTGTCTGTAGTATTTCTTCTATTTATACTAGACACACAAGAACAATCGGAGCGTAATGTGCCGTTCAGTACTGATTTATTATGGCCTTCAGTTATGTTACATCCGGGTCACCCCCAGTACCCAACTACCCCAACAGATGTCAGTACAACCCACATGCACAATACATGACATATTCCTCCCCACGTAAAGATGAAACCTAACTGGAGTGGTAACCTAACACAACACAACATAGGGTTCACATAACCACGAAATCCAAGCAAGGAGATACAAAAAAACTAGTAACTCATTACAACTTCCAACTTAGTTACTGTCACAGATTAACATTAATCAACAACAAAGTCCAGTTGTCACTACTCTAAGGGAATGAGGTGGACTACTCAAACCCTGACATTACCCTGGGGATTATTCTGCCCCATATATAGGTAAGTCGCTAGTTAAAGATTCATCCGCACGGGTGGTCGCCGTTCTCTCTGAGGATATCGGCGAACAATGTTGTCAACGGGCGGCTCCCCAGCAACAGGAATGGAAACTGGTATGGGAGGTGCTGACAGTTCAGTATCGGGAACAGCCACAGGAGTGGGACTGGACTGGGTCTGTCCCCAAGCAGACGGTGTAGGGCTGGCATGTTTGTATAGTTCAGTATCACCTTCAGGGGGGTCCACAGGCGTCCTAGGTCCATGCAGTAACTGATCCGTATGTCTGCGCCAGACAACATTTTCAGGGGTCTCAACTGTGTAAGACACAGGACCGGTCTGTGCTATGACCTTAGCAGGAACCCACTTCTGTTTGCCATGGTAGTTTCGTGCTAACACCTGGTCTCCAGGATGAAAGATCCTCTCTCTTGCCCGTAGGCTACGTCTCTCAACCTGTGCTCGTTGTTTTTGCAAAACAATGTCTTTGGTCTGGGGTGGTTTCAGTAAATCAAAAAAGGTGCGCAACTTCCTTTTTATGAATAGTTCAGAAGGAGCGACCTTGGTAGTGGAGTGTGGGACATTCCTGTATGACAGCAGAAAGTTATTCAGTCTCTGGTGGAGTGAACCTTGTTCCACTGATGCCTTCAAGGCCTGTTTCATACTCTGGATGAACCTCTCAGCTAGTCCGTTAGTGGATGGATGATACGGAGCCGAGCGAATGTGTTGTATTCCATTTACATCCAGAAATTTCTCAAACTCCGGTGCAGTGAACTGGGGGCCATTGTCACTCACCAGTTGTTCAGGGAACCCAAATCGGCTGAACATTTCCCCAAGTCTCTCAACTGTTTTCTCAGTTGTGGTGGATCTCATAATGCACACTTCCGGCCATTTACTATGTGCATCCAC